TGGAGGACAGGAAGGTGGGTGGGGAGGCGGTTACTGCTTGGAGGGAGAGTCCCCCTCCCTATAGGAAGCCGCGACCACATGTCACGGGAGGGAAAATGGCCGCGGATCCTGTTCGTCACCCAGTCCGGCGTTTGTGAACGGAGGCAAAATTTTGCGAACGGAGCTGTTCATGAAACGAATTGTTCGTGAACAGAAGCGTTCGTGAACTGAGGTACCACTGTATTTCCACAGAAACAATTACTTTTGAAAGGCCTCAGAAGATTGATGTTACATATATTTGTAGTTCTTCTGCTATATCTAAAAATGTGTACCATATAGTCCTTGTCCGAATAATTGTGTCCTTCATTACAAGAAAAAGTAAATCCTACTTAAGTGGGGAAGAAGTATAAATCGTCTTTTTGCACTCTGCATAATTGTCAGAGAAAAAATAGTGGAAGATAAAGATTCAATATTTAAGACACCTAGAATTATTCTATTGCCAAAAATTTTGAAATGTATATTCTGAAATTTGAAAGGGGAAAACCTGTAGAGCATTTTTCTGCTTGTTGAATGTATTGCTGCACAATACATCACCTTAAGGCCTCTGTGAACCCAATTAAAAGGATTAGAAGTTTGACATTCATTGATCTACTAAGGATTAACATATTGTCTGTGACCTAGAAAAATTATACATATATTATGCAGGTTTTAAGTTTTCCAGTGCACAACTTTCTCCCCATGATTTTCTTTTCAACAATTAATATGCATTAAAAGTGCATCACTGTTTTAAATTGAGTATTTTGCTTTTCTAATTTATTTATAACTGTGCCAAGTATTATTTTACTGTTAAGACTGATGTATTACATTGTGAACAAAATCTGTAAAAGGTTTAATAAAATAGTTCTCCTTCCATAAAGTTGTCATTTTTGTAAGTTATTAATCAAATATTTGTCTCCTAGATACTAGTGTTTCTCTTAGCTTTTGCACTTGCTTTGTTTACTGTCTCTGCTTGTTATGGTCAAGTGGCCCAGCTCTGTAGGATCTCTTCTCTTAACCTTTAGAATCTGACTGAACCCAAATTAGGAGGCTCTTGTTTCTCCTCAAGTGTCAGGTTTCTATCAACTTGACAAACGACCATAGCTCTTTTAATCTATCCTGATTAAAGTAAAAAAAATTATCTACTTCATTAATGTTTTTACTAAATACATGAGAAAGAGAAGGAAAAATAAATGCAATTGCTGAAGGGGGAGAAAATTATTTTTACAGACTGTCCTGCAGTTCTACCTTTACCTTCTTATCACCTCCCTGGTCTTGAGATCCAAGAAAAAGCAGGAAGTGCTTAATGGCAGTTAATCTTGCCTTTTGCAGATATATCAAAACTGGGAAAACTCACACTTGCTTTGGTAAACCCACCTCATAGATGTCACTCGTGACATTAGCCTCAGAACACTGATAAATAGTGCATATGTATGCCTGAAAAAAGGCTTCCTGCAATTCTGTTACTCAGGACCCTTGTTCACCTGCAAAGGGCTTTTTGCTTATGACACCTGTGCTATTACTATGCATGTCCTAAGGAGGCTAATACTATTTGATTGATAAAAGGAGAAAAGTTCCCTCAATTTTTGAACACCTGAGTAAGAATTCTGCCTTAACTATGAAATGCACATCACTCTACAATTTGTCTTGAAAGTTAACGAGTAAATGTTTTGAGATACAGTGGAATAACTGTTGTGCATTGTAAATAGGGAAAAGGACAAAGTTCTCAAATGGATTGTAATGTTTGCTAGCAGGGATATTTTCTTTGCTCTTGGTCATATATGTTGTGGTACTTCCAATACAGCTGGAATTTGTGGGAACAAACACCTTCACATAAGGAGCAGAGACAGCGGTTGAAGTTTACGCAATGACAACTGTCTGCAAATGGTCTGTGCAATTATGCAAATTGAATCACAGAGATTGATTCCTGCAGCTTTGGTTTGTAGACAATTGGAAAGGGACCAAGAGCCATCTAAACTTTCATAGTAACTTATTGAATATCTGTGTGGAATTGCCTCAACTGTACAGATGTAGTATTATTCAGCTGAACAATGTATCTGCTAGAATCAGATCAAATGGTTATATATTTCACCATATTTAATATGTTGAATGAAATTACAAAATAATGAAAATTCTGATTCATTGGAAACCAGTGTATCCATCTTCATCCTTTTGTTTTCACCCACTACTTTTAGGGGCTTGCATGATTTACACAATCCAAATAGTATGAATATGGTGGTAATCAAGCAAATGCTACCTCCCATATGCCTAGGAACAGACAAGTGTTCCCGTGATTTTGGTTACAATAATCTTGAGGATATAAATAATTACCATCAGGAGTTCCATTAAAAGCATCACTAATAGGTGGGACTTCAACATCCAGCCACAGAACCACCACCTCTGGCTTCCAAGAGCAAATTCCTGGAATGACTTGTATCTATTTTGTGCAGAAAGTCACCCTTTTATTTCATGGGTTTGACGTTCTTAGTTGTGACCTTACTCTAAAGTGTGTGAAAAGTTGGAATAGAGATAGTCTATTACAAATTCCTGTGCTTAGATTCTCTAATGGGCTGGTAGTAGACTTCAATGGTGCTACACAAGATACAAGGGCTGTGCAGAGATCCCAGTTCAAAGGGAAAATTTTTGGAGTGTGCAAAAACATGCACACGGCATTGCATCTTTCCTGGCTTCACGGGCTGCCCTCCACAGTTGACATAATCTCAGAGAAACACTCATTTGG